AAAAAAAAAAAAAAAAAATATTATTGAAATTTTTTAATGTTTAAAATAAAATACAAAATTCACTATTTTCTATAATTTAACCCAAAAAGAAAATTAAAATAACCTTTTGGTTTGGGTCAACAGTACCTTCTCGGGATTCCAATGATTGGTATTCAAATTGCAAACGTGTTCGACGCGCGTCTTTATATTCCCATTACACGTTGCTCTCTGCCGCTCCACAAAACATCCAAGTGGAGGAGAGGAACCACCGTTAGAGATCAATAGCCTTTGCTATGGAAGTTCATCCGACCTCTTCACTCCAGGGTTTGTGCAAAATTCCTTCTCACCTCTCAACCTTCCTTACGTGTTCTGTTTTCTATTTGCTTCCCATGAAAATCATGCCGATTCGGTAGAATAACTATGCGTTTGATTTTTCTTGAGTTTTAGTTTGGTTACTATTCTTCGTCTTGCTTTTAATTTTGTTTTCATCGAGTATCATTCTGGTTCAATGTTGCTCTCTGGATCTAAACCGACTATTATTTTTAGAGGAATCGATGATGTTGGTAAGAACTGTTTTGTGCATTCTCAAATGCAAATTTTTCATAGAATTGTCAACATTTTCATTGACGAGTTCGAGACAGATCTTGAAAAATCATCCGAAACTCAGTATCTTGTACGTCGGAGTTCATCTGTTAATTTTTGCTGAGAATTTCAATGTCTTCCTTCCTTCCTTCCTCCCTCCCCTCGATTTGAAGTTTTCTTTTCTTTTTCACACCAGATGAGAGAGAAGATCCTTCTGTGATGGTTGAGAAAGAGGTGACAGAATCAGTTTCAAGCTCACCACAAGATGTGCAAACTAACAGAAGTAGGGAAAATGTCATGAAGACTGAACCTTCTCAACAGATTGGTATCGATGGAGAAGCGAGCATGGAGGCCTCCATGTCGGCTGATGATGTTTTACGGGCTGGAGGGTTTGGTGCGAGGGATGATATTGGTAGTTTTCTTCCTGTTGCAAGTGATTCTACTGACTTCGAGGCTACGATTCGCAGTGCTCGAGCATATGAAGGACCACAGGGGGAGATTTCTAGACCAGGTCTTGGCTGGAAAGAAGCTACAAAAACTGAGTAGTTCCGCTTTGAGCATTTTGTTTGTGTCCAACTTCAGTCATTTGTAAGTACGGTTTGTTTACAAGGTCTATACAGGATCATGTTTTGTCTTATGTCACTTTAGGAAGGTGTATTACTTTGTTGTATCTTTGAATCAATATAGATCACGACCCTTTTCAATGCAATCATCAAGATAGATTTTGAGGGTGAATCTTTCAAAATTATGCTTGATATGATGCATTGGATCTTCGATTGTGATTTTAAATCCTAAACCTCTCGAGGACAAAGAACTCAAAGAGTCAAGACATCGAAAGCTTTTGTTCTGATTAATGGTAATATTACGACAGAATACATTTTAAATTCATTTGAACTTTCATATCATTTTGGCATTCTCTTCTTCTAGGATGCTCGTTTTGTGGTTTGTTTTAGATACAAGATGTTGTACAGGGGTGGCTTTCTGGAAGATCCTTTGTCCCGGGGCAAGAATTGATAATGGGTCATAGGCAGATTTCCTCTCCATCAGTACCCGCCATTTGTTGCCAAAATGAGCTTGCCACTCGTCTTGGGAGCTATAATGAGGCAGATATTGCGTACATCCAGGAAGATCCCTGACACAGTAGTCCAGAATTATTTGGTTTTGGGCTAAAATGTTCTCTAAGCTTTGTTTTCCGGTTGAAGTTGGCAGTGCAGAAAACAAGAAACCCACTAGGTAGAAAATTTCTTCGTCTGGTGTGACCACTGATGTTTTATTGTTCCACCTGTACAACCCAAACTGATTTGTATTAGGATGGGGAAATTATAAGTGTAGAGTTTCTGGGACAAATCTATTGAAACAAGTACTTGGATTTGTTAACCGGGTAGATTAGTATGGGACCATTGGTGGAATCTGATAGAATTTTGTCAAACACCTCTGCTGCAAAATCATGTATTTTGCTTCTTGGGATCATTAGATTCATCCAAGGATGAGGAACCTCCCACAATCCTTTTTCCCTGAGTTTTTTCTCAGATATGTGCACTCTATCCAGAAACTCCACGTAAGGAACTTCCGACTGAAAGAGAGTAGCTGGAATGTAGCTCAATTGTGATAGCAACTTCTCAACTTTCTGCACAACCACATGGAGTTTGGAAATGACATTATTGTTTAACACTCTTTTTTAACTGTTTTTTTGGCTGTTTGTCATGAGCTTGATATCTGATAATGTCTATGGCAATGCTCACCTTGTTCATAGTTTCTGTCTCCTCAGAGTTGAAGTACATGGCCATTTCTAGACAATACAGTGTCGCTCTATCTGAGACGAATTGGCTGGCTTGAACTGGATCATTGGGATCAAATGAAGATCTCCAATTATTGAGAATGCCAGTTCTATTTATTAGAACAAAGCCTTCAATATAATCAAAGGAGTACTTGGTGGATATCAGATGTTCCTGGTCCTTGGAGAATACGGCGAAATCTGAATACAAGGTTCTTATCCACTTTACCTGTCAAAAGATGGCGGATTGTGTTTTGCATTACAAGATATCACTAAAAATGTTATATTATATACCTATTCTGATGGAATGCAGGGTATATTACCATTTTTGGTGCTGATTCTAGAGAAATCCTTGCCCTTGTGATGATGCCAAACTGACCAAGGCCTCCAAGTACGCTGTAAAACAGGTCTGCATTCTGCTGCGCTGAACAGGTAATAACCTCGCCCTTTCCTGCATTCAATTGAAACTACATCGGTTTGTCTGCCTCCAAGGTTTTAATATTGAAATAATTCGAAGCTCGGTTTCTTTTGCTCTGATGGACTTCGTTTTAGATCTCTCTCTATTTCTCCTTGGCTTTCTCCATTTTTAGCGCTTTTGGCCCCTGGCAACCTCTCGTCATTTTTTATTTCTTAGAGAGGTTTAGGCTATTTTCACACTGCTTCCATTTCCCCTTTTTCGCATCTTCCATATTGGGTTGGTTTCGAGACTCGGGACGTTATACCAACGTTTTTATTTTCCTTCCTTTTCACTAAATGGAAGATTATTCCTTCATGGGTTTGTTCTAATTCTTTCAGTGGGGGTGGGGTGTTGGCCAAAATGAAAGAGTCTAGGGGTCAACAGTTTCCATCGTAAAAGGAAATTACAAAAATTCATGTTAACTTGGGTGATCTTTGTCGATTCTTAAGAAGCTTCAGGTTGATAAGATTATCCATCTTTGCATCGAATTGTAAGCAATACTTGCAAGGCTTCTTCGACTATATTATAAACCACAATATTTACTTATTCAACATAAATAAGATTCCGAATGTATTTAATATCATTTGATTGTCATGAAATAAAATTTATTATTGAAAATTTTTATGGTAAATTGGAGAAGTTAAATTAGGACCAACGAATAATTTTATTTTTAGCATATCAAGGAATTCTGTTTGTGATTGAAATTACTTGAGTTTTTCAGTCTCTTCATCAAATTTTATAATGGTCTATATTCATGTTTCATAATTGGTTTATGTTATTGTTGCCCTCAATTTTCTCAACAGTGAGATTGTTCATCTAAGTTGGAGGAGGAACATAGAGTGAGCAATTTATAATAAGTTGGGTGGTGAACTTTTTCTTCTCACCTAAGAGGAATTACAGAGGATCCCTACAGCCAATAACACAAGTAGTATTTAAATTTTTTGCACTGTTACATTGTTATGGCGTTTATGGACTAAGGATTACATCCCAAAGTGAAATGAAAAAGGCATCTCCAAAATTATACTGTTCTTTTAACAATTAATCCCTCGAACTTCATATTATTTTGGTGCCTCAATAAAGGTTCTATCTGATGAGAAAGTAAAGTCTCTTTCTTAATAATTATTTCTCCCAAACAGTCTGCTCTATTAAATATTTTTGTTCCATCTATCGTACAGTATAATCACAAAATCTATCTTTATTGCGGCCCCTCCCTAATTCCTCTATAGAGAACGTTGGTGCAGGGATAATAAATATAATATTTTAAGCGGAATGTGTTTGTGAGGGACATACTTAAGAGAGAAAAGTAGTTGAGAAAGAGATTGAAATGGAGGGTACTAGAATAATGCTAATTTGACGTTTAAAATTTTTAAGTCAAGTTTTGGGGTCCATCCTAATTAAATTGTGGGGTTTGCACAATTTGCCTGATGATCAAGTATAGTTGGAAGGTTTATCATCAGTATCCAATTTTCGATAATTTGGAAATCAAATTTCTCGTTAGAGTGCTTTTGTTTGTAGTTTTGATTTTTAAATAGGTTCAAGAACTTGAGGAGACTATGTGAGAGATTTGAACTTCCAATGTTCTATTTGAGGGTAAGCCACCTGAGCAATGATTTGGCTGGAAAATATCATTTTAACTGTTATACTTGGGGAGGTCAGCAAAGTTTATACCCAAATTTGGTGACAGAAAAGAGGTTATAAGTTCAAAAGAACTAGTTGTGCAATCACTGAAGGAATGAAAAGCTAGAAAACGAATATGTGATCATTTTACCGTTATTACTTAATGTGGAATTCTAAACAATATATGCAATATACATTATAGAAAACTTATGAATAAGCCAAGAAAGGGTACCTGTGACAACTTCTAGCTGGTGGACGTTACTGATTTGAGGTCCATGCCTAAAAGCTTGCCCGCTAATACCAGCATTTGATAGAGTACCACCAACAGAAAGATGAAGGTAGTCAGTCCAAGATTTTGGTGTTAAGCCATGTTTAAGCGTTTCATGTAAGATATTTATCCACAGCTCTCCTCCGGGGACATCCACCCATGGTAAGTTTCCACTGTGAACTTGCATGGCTGGTTCCTTAAGGGACTCCATGTTGATAACTACGCCTCTTAAGGCTTGTGCCTGACCTTGAAGAGAATGGCCGTGACCCCTTGCAGCAACTGTAAGTTCTGTTCCTGAACCCATCTGAAAAATATGCTTTAATGTAATTGAAATATCACGAACTGAATGTGGATGTAGAACTGCTAAGGGTAGCATGTGATATCTTTTGCCAAAATCTTTAGCTGCTGCTTGATTGTTTTTAAAGCTAAAGTGTCCATCTAGGCTTATTGTTTCCAAGGATGAAAGCAGTTTAGAAGAAGATTGTATAGGAGGGTCACCAGTAGGCTCCCCGAAACATTTGGTGAAACAAAGGTTGGTTCTATAAGTAGCACAGTTCATGAAAAGAATAATGCAAATTTTGAAGTGTAAGATTTTGTTGTTGTTGAGAAAGCTAGGAAATGGTGACCGCATGTTTCTAAATATTGAGCTTCTCCTTGATTTCCTTTATGAGGCAAAGAAAAAAGAAGTGGTGTAGAAGAGCTCTAGGTAATTGGAGGTGGACGAAGAGAATTTAAAGAGCTTGTTTGTCTAATGAGCAGTTTCAACTTCGGCTCAGACGTTATTTACTTGCTGTCTTGTCTTTGGGTAGGTGGGCATCTTTATTACCTCAGCTTTTTCTGGGATCTAATGTAAAGGCGGCATTTGGTTGAGATAACTGGTTGCTGATGTCGTTTTTTTCTCTTTTCACCCTCTTAAGAACAATATATTAGATAAGTGTCTTATTTTTTTTCCCTAAATAAGACACTTTTCTTAATAAACTCTCGCACTTAATTTAAATACAACAGAAACTGTTTTGAAGATCATATTTGGTTTCTTTAGTTTTTCTTTTGTTCTCTTTGATAGCATTAGAATATTTCATTTATAAGATTTCCGTACAACATATTTGGACCATATTATCACTCAGACTGATGGAAACTGCAAAATTGGGTGAAGAATTAAGTGGAGACCGCTGTTGCTGAAAACAATAAGTATAAACTTGTATTGAAAGGAGAGAAGCAAGGGATGTTGAAGATTGTCGGGTGAGGCCTATTAAAAGTACTGTAAGTTGTTTTGAATAGTATTGATTCTATTATTATACTTGTTTTGAGAAAAGTCAGGTGACAAAGTGAGAAGAACTGAAGCAAGATAAGGAGTACAGTGGTGAGTTGAAATGGACCATCTGGAGTTCCTTGGGGATGTTGATGTATGGAGAATGGTCCAAAGTCTTAAAGGTATTTGATCACTGTGAGTAAGGTCATGCGGGTCCCTCAACATGTGAACACCACGAGGAGCCCCACAGGTACAACAATTCTCCTCACTCTCACCTTTACTCTCCATGTTAAATTTTCAAGAGAATTCCTAGTTTCCATTCTGCTTAAAGGAACATGTTTATTTGCGTATTTTACACACTTTACGATATCTTACATGAACTCTCTCTAGATTAAGAAGTTTGATTGAAGAACATTAGTAGGGACAGTGATTAGAATTCTGGTATGAAATCTATAGGCATTCTCTCTCTATGTGCAGCATTTTCTTCTCTAATATATACCATATGCCATGTAGGAGAGAATGGTGGGAACAGATGGGTATGTGAGGCATGTAAATCAATGTAGCACTAACAGAACATAGTACAATTATTGTAGTAGTTGTCTCTTCCGAGGAGAGGGGTTGTGACAGAAGCTTTAAAGAAATCACCTCGAACACCTCGTGGTAGAAAGCTACTCGGTCGCCCTACCAAGTTTTACAGATTGACATCCATCTTTTTGCAAGCTGCATTGATGTCGATGTGCCTTGGCCATTGGCCTTTTGAGTGATAAGGATTTTGAATAGACAATTTCATGAGTTGATTTCCAAGAGGTAGTGAGTTCTGATTTTAGGATAACATTTTAATGCTTGCTGCTTTTATGTGTGGTATTATTATCATTATTGTTGTCGTTGTTATTGATATCTTAGTCCCTACATCATTTTAGAAAAAGATTCACATTTAATATTTAGATCTGTGGCCCTCCCTCAATAATGTTACCTTTGTTGATGTGTCAAATCTTATCTCGGCCTAGATTCTCTGTTCGATGCCTCGTCCAATAGCTTGCTTGTTCTTCCTATGAATCATGGCATGGAATTAGTTGAAGCATCAAAATTCTAATACTATATTTTGTTTTATGAGTGATTGATATTGAAATTTATTTGTTTGCTAATATTTGAATTGTTGTCGTGTATATGAATAAGAAATAATTACTCTCATTCTAAATTTAAGATGGCTATACAAAACTATAGATTTGTTTTTTTTTTTTAATATATACGACAATAAATGTATTTTGTTTATTAAATTAAGTTAAAGAAAAATATATTATTTTTAATCAAATAATGACATTTACATTATATATATATATATAAAATCAAGAAATATTAAAAAAAAAAAGCAACAAAATTTCATTTATATGAATATAATATAAATAATAGGTATTTTGACTTAAACAAGTTATAAAAAAAAAATATTTATTAATTTTAATACTCTTTTTTATTTTAATTTTTTTATATATATATTTTTTGAAATATATATGAAACATATTCCTTGATATCTGCCTTATGAAAGATGTATTAAAAAATTGTTTGGCAAGAAAGTAGAATACATTTAATGAAAGAGGACCAAAATGTAATTTTACCATGTGGCTTACGTCATCTTTTTTTTTTTCTTCTAAATATTCTAAGTAAAATTAATAAAATACAACAAGATGATTACAACGATATATACTCATTTCGTTAAATATAATGAAAGACAACTTTCGTCTCCCGTTGTGTTTTATTTGACGAATTTGAGGTTAATTTATATAATAACAAATATATTTTAAACGTTGTAAAATAATACGTATGTCCTTTAATTTTGTATAAATATAATTGTTTCTTCATCGTTTGGACCACTATAAATAATGATGGGTAGGTCCCTATAAAAAATTGGTGAACGACCCATCGGTGTAGCATGGTCACAATCTCCTAGGTTGTAAGAGGAAAAAATGAGAATATAGAGAAGAGAGTACGGAGTTTGTGAGGGTTAATTATTATCATGTTTCCTGAACATACTTCCATTCCGTATCTTATCTTGTTTCCCATATGCTTCTTCATCATTACCCTACCAACCTAATCTATTGTCCTTTGAGGTCTCCAACGTTAATGTAACTTTTGAAAGTTTAAACATATTTAAAAATATCAGATAAATCTGTAAATTTTTATATTTGTGTCGTTTGGTCTTTGAATTTTAAAATGTATCTAATAAATTTGCGACTGACCCATTTGATGTTTTTTAAAGTATATTCATTCGGTCGAGATGCTAAATTGAATGTTTAGAATTGCATTCTTATGCGTTATACGACAATTTGTGTTTATAGATATAATCATTGTGCAAATCATTCGGGAGTGATTTGTAATTACGGTTTAGTTTAAAAAAAAAAAAAATTGTTTTACCCTTATAATATCTTCAACTTTTAAGTACCATTGATTTTATCCATATGCTACCGAGTGGGTCATATCAATACTATTACAAGAATAAAATATCAAATTTTATTCATAAGGTTATTACTTGAATTTAATGTTTGCATATGTACACTAATATTCTCGATTTTTTTTTATATAATTAATAATGAAATAATTGTAATTATAAAATATTAAAATCTTAAAATATTAATGATGTGACTTCGGAGCAAAACCAAAACATATTTTTCTTTGTCGTTCTTATATCAAATGTCGGATAGATCAGCTAGATTAGACTTTTATGTTTTTTTAGTTCTTCTAGATATAACCAAATTACTATAGCCCCTCGAGATCAAGAAAAAACCAATTTCACCTACATTTATAACACGTTTGCCTTTCTTTAGAATGTGTTTTGGATTTTGTAGTACTCTAACAACCTTCGAAAGACGCACAATCACTTTCATATATGGTTCAATCAATAATAGAAACGTTCATAGATATGATTTCTTTGTCTTCGAAGAATCTTTCAACACTTATCCAAAAGATATCATTTTATGATAAAAGAACGTTAACTTCCGGGTACACGATTTCTAAAATGGGAATCGAAGTAGATAGAGCCAAAGTTGAGCCACCCATTTCAGTGAAGGGATTGATGACTTTTTTGGGACATGTTGGTTCTTATATTAGGTTTATCTACGACTTTTCCACCAAAGAATGGCTTAATGATTTGTAATAGTCCACGTGCATTAGAGAGAATTCAGTTTATTTTAGTTCTTGTGTTTACGAAGCAACGATCATATGAATGATATATTCATTTATTAACAGGTGGGAGGTATTCGAGCTTTTGATCTCGTAGTCGAGGGTACACATCGGTTGGTTTTAAGGGGTAGAAACTTCTCTCTCTAT